CTTGAAGAATTCCATGGAGGAAAGCATTGTTTACATCCAATTGGCGAATAGACCAGTTGGATGACACAACAAAGGAGAGGACAGTCCGAATAGTAGTAGGCTTTACCACAGGACTGAAAGTTTCATCATAGTCTAGACCTGCTTCCTGTGAGTATCCTTTTTCTACAAGGCACACTTTGAAGCGCTCAATAGCTCCATCGAATTTCCTTTAATCTTAAAAACCCACTTATTGCCAATTATGTTTTTGTCATGTGGTGGTGGCACAAGGGTCAAAGTGCGATTCTCTTGAAGGGCGCGGAATTCATTGGCCATTGCAAGAACCCATCGATGATCTTTAGAGGCTTGATTGTAGGATGTAGGTTCAGTTTCACATAGGGGGCTAGCAAGGAGAGCATACTTGGGATTAGGTTGAATGATGCCACTACGAGATCGAGTGACCATGGGATGACGGGATGTAGTGAGAGGGTCAACATGGCATGGGTCAGGGGATAAAGCAGGCTCAATTAGAGGTGTAGTGAAAGTGGAGGATGGGCTAGGTAACGGTTCTAAGGGAATAGGAGAAGTAGGTTGGGTTGAGGGTTGTGTAGTAGTAGGTGCTGGACAGGGAAGTACAACATGGGATGACGGGATGTAGTGAGAGGGTCAACATGGCATGGGTCAGGGGATAAAGCAGGCTCAATTAGAGGTGTAGTGAAAGTGGAGGATGGGCTAGGTAACGGTTCTAAGGGAATAGGAGAAGTAGGTTGGGTTGAGGGTTGTGTAGTAGTAGGTGCTGGACAGGGAAGTACAATAGGTGGGGCACCAACAACACCACTTTGTAAGGTAGAGGGCTGTGGAGAAGGAGATAGGTGATCAACAAAGAGGAAGTCGAATTCATCAAGGGTAGCATTCCTAGTTATGTAAATCCGGCCTGTGGGTAGATGAAGACACTTGTAACCTTTGTGTTGGCCACTATAACCTATGAATACAGGACGTGTGGAGCGTGGTTGTAGCTTGTTTGAATTGTAAGGACGTAAGTGAGGATAACAAGCACACCTGAACACTTTGAGAAATTAGTAGTCTGGAGGTGTGCCGAAGAGCCGTTGCAAAGGACTTTGCATTTGAATTACTGGTGAAGGAAACCGATTTATAAGATAAACTGCTGTTTCAAAGGCATCAAACTACCGATTTGTAGGCATGGAAGCATGAGCCATTAGTGTTAGGCCTGTCTCTACAATGTGTTTGTGCTTGCGTTCAGAGGAACCATTTTGTTCATGAACATGAGGGCATGATTTTTGATGTGTGATTCCTGCTTCACGAAAGAAAGAACGCAGGGGGGAGTACTCAGAACCACCATCGGTTTAAGTATTTTAATTTTGGCACCCAACAGATTTTCCACATTTTGCTTGAATGCAATAAATAAGGAGGGTACTTCAGATTTAGAGCGCAAAGGAAAGATCTAAACATATTTACTATAAGAATCAATAAAATGCAAGTAATACCGAAATCCCAGAATTGAAGGACACGGGGCAGGACCCCATACATCTGAAAAAATAATCTCAAGTGGTGAAGTGATGATAGTCTGACTAGGAAAAAATGGAAGGCTATGGCTCTTCCCAATTGGACATGCTCGGCAAAATGCTAGAGCTTTATTTGAGACTGGAAGTTGATTAATGGAGAGCACATGTTTGGTAACTTTGGTGCTGGGATGGCCCAGACGAGAATGCCAAATAGAAGAAGATGTACGCTCTCCTACAAATGCAGATGGTGCTGAAGGTTTGGAGCAGGAATCTACTTGTAGCTGATATAATCCACCTTTAACTGGCCCTCGAAATAGAGTTTTCCCTGTCAGTTTGTCCTTCACACAGAAACCATGAGAATTAAATAAGAAAATGACATCGTTTTCTTTACAAAACTGGCTAACATAGAGTAAATTTTTAGTGATGTGAGGCACTCATAATATGTTACTCAATACAAAGGAGCCCGTAGAGGAATGAATAACTGAAGAGCCAATATGAGATATTCTCAAATCTGCACCATTACCAACAGGGATCTGATCATCACCGGTGTATTCATCATGAACTGAGAGATTGCTGAGATCAGAGGTGAGATGGTGTGTGGCCCCTGAGTCCGAGTACTAGTTGACATCCTGATGTCAAGAATTGGATGTAGTGTAGGCAGAACTTGCTGATTTCTGATGCGATCGACTAGTGAGAGCAAGGTATTTGCGACAAGTAGCAGCAATATGTCCAACGTAACCGCATAACTAACATACAACATTTTTGTCCTTTTTTCTATAACCAGTATTATTAGAAGGTGGGTGGCTCTTCTTGGCATTGTAATCCTGTTGTCTTGGCTGAAACTTGAGAGTCAGACGCATGAGAGTGAGAAATAGTATTGGTATTAGAAGAGGTATCCTTAGTCTTCTTTGCTAGATTATTAGAGCCTGTTTCTAAGGAATGTGTACTACGGTGCTTCTTTAACCGTTTTTCATAGGCCATGAGAAGACTTTGTACATCTATAAGAGTGAAATAATCCATTCTTGTGGTAATAGAGAGAACAAAGTTATCATAATCAGATGGCAAACCACCAAGTAAATAATGAATCAAATCTGAGCCAGACATATTATAATTGGATGCAGAAAGAGAATCAGCAAGTCCTTTGATCTTCTGGATATAATCATTAGCATTTAGCTCACCTTTGGTCACATAAGCTAATTCAAGTTTTAGATCATGTATTCTAGCCTTGCTAGTGGAAGAAAAAAGATGGTTAAGAGAATCCCATACAGATTTAGAAGTGTTGCATCCCACCACCTGGGCAAGGACTGGCTCTGTCATAGAGGATAACAACCAGCTCAAGATTAGCTGGTCTTGTTCTTGCCATGTTGCGTACAAGGGATTGAGAACCTATCATTTGTAGAAGTTGTAGAGGAGGATTCCTCAAGATATTGTGATGGGTAGGGGAATGAACCGTCAACATAAAAAAGGAGTTTATAGCCCCGCAATGTTGGAACTACTTGTGTAGACCACAAAAGATAATTGGTGCGATCCAGTCGAACTGTGACTAGATTCACAAAGTTGGAGAGTGAAATAGTATTCACTGGATGAGTTGAAGAGTGACTGAACGGCTGCTATGGTATATTTATATACAATGTTGAGGTTGTTACATTTAAATTCAAACTACAAAAAGATAGGAGATTACAACATATAAGATTATCTGTAGAAGCAAAAAAAATAGGGATGAGAACTACCTAGCATCTATCCAGAGTTCTAGATGGAGTGGACTCTTTTACTGATTAATACCATATAAGTGTGTAAGAAAACAAAAAAAAGAAAGAAAGAGAGAGGGAGCGAGAGAGAAATTGAGGGAGAACAACATAAATTAAGGGAGGAGAGATCGGCTGAGAAAGGGAATGAGAGAGATTGAGGGAGAACGATATGTAGAGAGAGAATAAGAGAAATTGATAGACAGAACGTAAATACCAAAACCAAAAACCATTTTTATTTATTTTCAAATCATGCAGTCGTTGAGTAGAGAGAGACGATTGTGAGAGAGAGAGAGTAGAAGAGAAGCTAAAAACCTTTTTTTTTTAGTTTCCAATCACCTAGCATTAAAGGGCAATTTTGGTATAAGATTTTTGTTGTGTCCAATATGGATTAAGAGTCCTATGTTGGCATTATCCACATAAGTCTCCAATGACATGGCGGGGGATTTTATAATTTGACATGTAGAGCTGATTGTCAGAGTTTTTCAATTTCAAGACCAACCTATAGCCTGATTTTAAATGTACAACCCACTCTGACTATAATTTTCCCTAATTTTAAAACTAATCCTAAAGCAATGCTATTTTCTTATTTAGATGGTGGGTCAATGATCCAACTTTTCAAAGAAACCCATAAATGACATAATTGAAAAATAAATATTTAAAAAAGGATAGAAAACAAAAAATGAAAATATACAGAATTTTATAGAAAATATTTGAGAACATTTCTAATGTTATATATTCATCATATTAAATAAAAATAATTGTTAAAATAAATGTTATTTGCTACAAGCATTTAAGTTTATTTTTAATCATATTATTAATTTTGTCAATTTTCAATTTCTATCTTAACTATTATATATCTAAAATTCAAGTAATTAATATGAAGAAAAATTTCCCACGTACAACGCATATGCTTCACTTCTTCACACCCTTCTATCATTTTTTGTACACTAGCATAGCAGGTATCCTTACACTAGTTGTATATAAATGTGGTTTCCAAGGCTCAAAACAAAAAGTAACCTATACTAAAGACAATCAAATTTTTTGTTGTTTATTTACAGACTTTAATCAATACAGCTTAATTTTGTGAAAAAAATATATCTCATCAACTCTGACAAGGCTGTAAATCATTCTTTTAAAAGGCTGTCCTCTAGCCATTTTTTCTTGTTTTTTCCTAAACAAATTGATTCCACCACTCCTCACACATTCTTCATTTTTTACTCTACTGTTGTTTGTTTTGAATCAAATGCCCCCAACAGTGGTTTTTGCAACCAACTAGGTATGATTCATTTATTTTCTCATTTTATTCATACAATGAGCATGGATTGATTGAAATTCCCTTGGCATGAGAAACATTGGTTTGCTTTTTAATGTTTATATACGATGGAAGGTAATATTATCTTTATATTGGTAAATGCCCCTTCTAAACCAAACAATGCTGTCAAATAAATGCTTTATTTTTCATTAGAAAAAGCATCTTTACTAAGCGGATAGTTCAAACACTTTTTTAGAATTACTTATGAAAAAAGCACTTCTAAAAAATCCCACTTTTTCAGTTTGGGCCATTGTTTGATATCAAACTAGCAGCATGCAACTATCACACACTACAGTAGTATCAGACTTTGTCCATATTTTATTATTTTAGTATTTCTCCCTATCACACACTACAGTAGTACCAGACTTTGCCCATATTTTATTATTTTAGTATTTCTCATCCCCTTCATTCATTAATTTATTTTATGGAAGAATGAGCCTCTGAAATGGGCAATCGATCATAACACTTCTAGAATTGAAAACTTATTAGATCATCCTTCTTCCTCCTAAGCACTTCAAGCACCGACTGTGCAGTGCAGTAAGCGATGGACTGAATGGTGACCATGGGATTCACACCCAACGCCGTTGGAAAGACACTCGAGTCTGCCAGGAACAACCCCTCCACCTCCCACGTCTCCCCTCTGTGGTTCACCACCGACGACTTTGGGTCCACTCCCATTCTGCAGCTGCCCATCTGATGGGCTGAGGGTATTGGAGTTCTGAGGTCTCTCAGTGCCCTCCTGCTCTCTTTCTTCACAAACCTCTCAAACTCATTTGAACTCACTTTCTTCACATTCACTTTCCTCCCCAAACAATGACTGGTTCCAATCTCTTCTGCTCCTGCTGCTGCCAGTATCCGAAGTATCTTCTCCAGTCCTTGCTTCAGGTGCTCTTCATCCATGGCATCCATCCTGTAGCTGATGGAGCTTGGAGAGTTCACTTGGCCTGAGCCTTTATCTCTGGCCAATGCAAATATGTAGGCCGTCCTTGAGAATTTAGACATCCTTTCTCTCATGTCGACGCTGGATATCCATGGAGTTATCACCGAGAACATACCAGGGTGCAGCATTGGTGTCTGTATCACTGCACCATAGCCAGAGCCCTCGGAGTTTGCAACGACGGTCGACATTGCCGTGATAATGCCACCTTTGTAGCTCTTCTTATCTTTTTCCGGCCACCCACTGTCAGCTGGTCTACTTGGGAAGTGACCCCATGCCATCACCACCGGATGAAGATGCAGGTTCTTTCCAATGTTGGAATTCCTCAGCCCACTTCTTTTTAGCAGTGTGGGCGTGCAGAGAGCACCACCGGCGACGATCGTCACCTTCGACTCCAAAACACAGAAATCTTTCCCCCATCCATTGTTGAATTCGAAGACAACCCCAGTTGCTGTGTTACGTTTCCTCCCTTTCTTTCTCTCATGCAAGATTTTCAATGCCTCGCACCCAGGAAGAATCACGCCATTACCAGAATCAACTAAGTCCACCAGCCATGTCTCTGAGGTACCCTTCTTTCTTCCATCCTTGCACCCGAAACAACACCAACCACAGTAGTGATTAGGTGGTGAGTTCCGAGGAGCAGTTATCACTGGGTAGCCCAACTCGGAGCATCCTTTTCTCAACACTGTGTTGCTCAAGCTTTCTTCTTCAACATCAGGCTGAACTCCCATGCGCTTGCAGACAACATCCATGGCCTCTTTGTAAAGCTTGCTACCGAATAACTCAAGCTCATATTCGTTGCACCATTCTCTGATTACATGCTGGGGCGTCCGAATTGAGGCTGACCAATTGATTGTGGAGCCTCCACCGACGGTGGATCCTGCAAGCATAATGACACCCATATCATCGGTGACCATCAATCCTCCGCTTAAGTACATTTCATCCATGGATGGCCCTTCCAGGAGTGAAAGGTTTTTCCTTCCGAAATAGTTTCCCTTCTCTAAGACAGCAACTTTGTAGCCAGCTTTGGCAAGAATGCCTGCAGCAACACCACCGCCGGAGCCTGAACCCACCACAACTGCATCACATCGAATGGTTAAGGAAGGATGTGACGGTGATGGATTATACCGTCGATGAGGATGGAGACGGACATGGAATCCAGACTGCCGCAGAGTTTCGGCGAGTGCTTCTCTGGGTTGTCTCATATTAACGATGCCTCTGTAAAGGGGTTCAAATAGTTCTTCATGTTCATGACCTTGTGGGGTTTTAGTTTCTCGAGTTCGATTGTTTATGAAATCTGGATCAGGACCACAGTAGTCTATACCTCTCCAGGTTGGGTTCTCATTGTTCTCGTCTACCTGAAAAAACCAGAACAGTGTAATGTAACAGATGTCATGTCTCAGTCTCACCCATGAACAAGAATTTGCAGACAAGAGAAAAAGATTATTTGAGCCCAAATCTCCTGGACCCATTGACCGGTCCAGCCCGTTCAAAAAGTTCTTGGGGCGCCTTGGCAGAAAATTTTCTCCTAAGCCCAGCCCAACATTAAGCCCAAACTTAATAAGGGCTAGGCCCAGTGCCTAAAATCTTCAGCGAGGAATATATACAACTTATGTGGGTATATATATTATTAGGCTTGGGGTGTGGTATGGGTCGTATCGGGCAGCATGCATGATCATCCCTAGATGGGGTCATTTGGGAATGGTTGAATTGGCTGAACTGAATGACCTATTTCTTTGTCTTTTTGTGAATAGAGCAGTCATATAATAAAAATTTTAGGATGTAGCAATCAAGCCAACATGAAGTTCAGCCATTAAAGAGCTTACAACCTACTAATTAATCATTTAATAACAGTTAGAAATAGCTGAACTCGATGACTTGTTTGTTTGATTAAGCTACTGGAGATTCTAGGCTCTTTAATTAATGGCTGAAACTGAAGTTTGGTTTATTTTAATATCCTCAAATATTTTATTATTTAATTATTTTATATATCCACTAAAAGACAGTGATAAATCAATGGATTCAGCCAGTTTAGCCATTACTAGAAGACCCCTTAATGGCTATTTGGCTAAAAGATAAAGAGCCCTACTATGGTAAAGTTTACCATAAAGCCAAATCTCAGGCTTTCAATCCATGGGGACTAATGTGACAAGTGAGCAGCTTATCAAATTCAACCACTTCAGCTGTTACCAAACAACTCTTAAGTGCTCGTTTGAGAGGGCTAAGCTGAGCATTCAGTTAAGCTGGTTCAGCTAGCTGCTTCGAGGCATTCCAGATAAGCTATTGTAGGGACAGCCTAAAAATGACCGACCGACAGTCAAGTTGAAATCTCCAAATGTTTCATCAAACATGGCTTAAAAGCATATTCAATACTCACAATTCACACTATTTTCACAGCCATTTAAAGCCGTGCAATGGAATATTTCTGTACTTGTATTTTCTTTAGGGTTTTTTAGATTGTACTTTACTTCAGGATTCAGATTTGAATTGCAAACCTACAATAATTAAAATTTATGAACACCTCCACCTTCTGAGCTGGCACCTACCCCAAACTGTATGATGGAGCTAAAATTTTCAGAGGTGGACTGAACGGTAAAATCCCCTTTTTTTATTCATAGGAGATGTTCTTAATGCACATGCACAACTGAAAAGGGCTGTGAGAATGTATGAACACAATTTTGTGAGCATCAAATCCAATTTCTCCCAGTGTTAGGTGAGTAAAGAACAGCTAGCATTGTTTGTATATAAGTGTCCTCCGGTTGGTATTAGGTGGGTGGCCTCTTTAATACCATTAGTATGTTAATTAATAATTTCTTTCGATTGCTAGTACTATGTTAATAGTTTTAGTAACAAGTACTTAAGAAGCATTGAATTTGTAGGTCCTATCTTGAGGATGATGAACATGGAAAGTGAATCTAATTAAATACGTCAACCAACTTGAATAGTCTGCCAACAATGATAATGGATAAATTGCTGAGGCCTCTCCTGAAGTTTGGTAATTGCAATTACCTCCCCCAAAAGTTTCTAACACGGTTGCAAGTAGATTCTCTCTGTTAGAATCTTCTAAAAAGAGACAAAAATGTCTAAAATATCGATGCAATTACTATTGAGGTTGATTTCTACAGAAAAATAATACAAACTTTGTAAACAAAAAAAAGTAGACAATTTAAAGTTGCATCTTTACATTTGAGCGATTAATATGAAGGGAAAATTTGAAAAATAAATCAATTTCAGAAAAGAGATCGTAAGGGTTTGGGCTAGCATTTCATATGAAAAGAAAATTTGGAAAAATAAACATTTTATTCAAAAGTCACTATATGAATATTTTGGACATTTTCATACATTTTTTTAGAATATTCTAACAAAGGGGATCTCTCTGCAACTATATTAGAAAGTTCGGGAGAGGTAATTGCAATTATCAAACTTCAAAGTAGGTTTCAGCAACAACTAGAAACTTTTGTGGAGATTTAAGAAATTTACCCTAAAAGACAGAAAGAAAAGAAAATCCAACCAGAAGAATATATACAACAATAATATGTCTATAATAATTTTAAATGAAGGAGAAAAGAAACTTGGACCCTACATAACTGTCTGATGTTACTCAAACAATTAATAAAGACAAGTGAAATTTTGTTGCTACACATCGCCATTCAAATCCATGAATTTTAGAGGTTTTTTTTGCTAGACACATCTTCATCATCTAAGATTAATAGATGGGTCCAACTACAGTGCACCAACAAATATCTGTGGGGCTAAATCAAGACTTCAAGGAATTATTTTTCATTGAAGATAAGCTTGAAAAGATGGAAACTACGATATATCTGTCTCAATCACTCATTTGTGTTGGGGTAAGGAATTTTCCTTTGAGTCCACATCGAAATGTGCCATGCCAAAAGTATTTGACTTTTTGAGAAAAGCCAAAAGTATTTGATTGGCAATCAATCTTACATGCAAACACAAAAATCTATTCCTATTTGATAAAATATAATTTATGAAAATAGCTAAGGGTTACTCATATTGAAGTGGAAAGACTTATTATTTATTTAATAAGATATAGAAGCAGATGGTCTTCTACTCCAAAGTAGGAAGGTTTAGCTGAACACAATAGTGGTTCAGCAGACGGTGCAACCAATGATATCACTCCACATTAATCATAAAATATACAACTCATATATTTTGTCATTGGTATGAGGCGTTAACATTGGCTCCACAGCCCGTTACACAGGCATCGTGTTCAGCTAATTAATCCGAATTAGAAACAGTGACTCAAATGCTATATCTGTACTTTGAACAGTGGTGAATGGCAATTCAAACGTCAAATCTGAAAACCAGTGTTTTTAAAACCGGACTGAATCAGATGGTAAAATTGGAAAAACCGGGAACCAGTTATTTGACTGATTCCATTTTACCCTAAAATTGCTGTTTGGTCAAAAATTGTTGATTTGGTTAATGGACCGCTGACTCAGGTGATCATATCATCGAACTATTTGACCCTAGAACGGTTTTTGGCCATTTTTTTGGGTTTTTAATTTTCTTTTTACTTTTTGTCAGAGTAAGCTGTCTGTTTTGACCGAAAGGTTAGACCCTTCGACCAAGGAACTGAAACCCATAATTATTTCCTGTCCGGTCCGATTTTAAAAACCTTACTGAAAATCAAAGAATGGGAATTGGAGGGATGTCTTTGACCCTTGGTAAACAAGAGAGATTGTTATCTGAAACTGTGCTTTGAGTCCAGGGATGGCAAGATCATCTAAAGCTATTATTTTCTCAGTGGCTGTTGCTTAGGGTTTCAATGAGATGGGATGGATTTTATGAAAATCCATATTCACCCTCTTTTATATCATGGCTACTTCTGTGGCGGGATCATTGCTGCCGTGATGTTGGTGGTGGTTACTGGTTAGGGGTTTTGCCTTGTAAATCTTGGCGTAATCCATATGTAATTGGAGATCGATATACAATACAAAACCTGGTATGCTTGAATTTCACATTCGAGATTTAACTAAGAAGTAAATAATCCTCTTTTTTTCCTTAAAAAAAATCCTCTTTTTAATTTGTTTGGCTATATATTATCACCAGTTATTGCCAGTAAATTAAACCTCAACCACTTTTGACATGGGCACATTTTGGTATGGACTGGAAGGAAAATTCTTTATTGTCTAAACGCAAGCGCAGATGATCTAAACTGAATTTTATCAACCATTCACTTTTTTGCTCCATGATGCAGTTTATTTATTTATTTTTTCATATGATGGCATCATAGATTTGCTTATATATATATATAATTTTTTATCAGATTAAATTTTAATTGGATTGAATAAAGTTGAGTATGCATTATCTGATCTAATTATTAATTATTAATTAGATGTAAGTTCTAACATCCAAATTCAGGATAATTGGTTATCGGACATTTAGAATTTATTAAAACCCTACCTGCTCTAAATTACATAATGCTATGATGTTAGGAATATATGATACCGAAGAGTTTTGATCAATCAATACCCTACCCATCAATCAATACCCTACCCATGAATTTTGATCACAAGATTTCCAGATATTATATGTATTTCTGATATCATAGTCGAACCCCATACAATACTATTATTCACTGAATCTGGAAGTAGAAATAAATCAGTGAAATAATAATAATAATAATAATAATAATAATAATAATAATAATAATAATAATAATAATAATATGAATTTGATATGGACATGGGCTGTCGGTGAAATGGGTCCATGTTAGAACTGGTTACAGTAGTTTTAATTTAGGGATGAAATTGTTAAAGTTTCAATGAACCCGAACCCCAACGCTGTTGGGTTATCACTTATCAGTTAACACAAAGTTGAAAAATAACAAACCCAACAAACCCTTATCCGATGCAGTTGAAATTCTTCTAATTAATCGGGTAATCGGACATAAAGCGTTTAGTTTTAACGTATGTAGGGAAATGAAACAGGAGAAGCAATATTAATTACCTGAGTGAAGAAGATGAAGAAGACCAGATACTTGAGAGTCTTGAAGAGCATCCTGTAGATGTTAAACGAACTGGAGGACCATGACAGGAGTATCTTCTCCCGTTTCTTCTGAGAAACTTGAGAGAACCTCTGGAAATAAGGAAATTGGGTTGATAAACTCGGTATTCCACACAGTATGAACGTTCCAAACCAAGTTGACAACAGCCACAGAGCCAATAGTAGAACACCCAGCATCGGATGTTCTATCTTTCCACTTAAAAATCCTCCAACCTACAACACTCAGATCGATCCACAAAGGCATTATTAGAGAAACAACAAATGAAAGATGTTAATAATTAGGATAGAACTGTGAGCACATATATATAATTGCTTTTTGGGTCTTACCAGCTCTGGAGTTCCAGCCATGGAAGCCGAGGTTCTGTAGAATTTAAACAAAGAGTCCTCAAGTTGTCCAGAGCAGTTGATATCTGGGAAGACAGACGGCAAGAGGGTGTCGCTGAAAGCAGTGAGTACTTCCATTTGACGAGGGGAGAGTGAATTCACGTATGGTTTTCTCTCACCCGGCAGGAGACTTGGTGAATGAAGCTCATTGGGAGCTTTCGTCGATTTTGATTCTGGGTCAGTACGGATGCTACCAAGATCGATTACTGTATGCCTAACTCCTCCATTCGTCGGAAAATTACTGAATTTCCCGGCTCCGTTGCCGTTCATTTCTCCTTATTGTGAATGCTACAGAGACAGACAGATAGAGAGAGAGAAGTGATGAGGTTAGAAACGCCACGAGGAGGACATGAGGCATCAAACAACGACCACGAATTAATGCCACGAAGGGGGCAATGAGGAACCGAAGTCTGTGACTTACAGGTTCTAATTTTAAAACGAAAAAATAAATAGTACTGGATATGTGGAATGCTCCTCCAACCAAAACTAACTCCATTAATTCTGTATTTCTTGCCCAACTACCCTTCGCCTTCGTTTCCACACATACGATATATCACAAGAGTCGATACTTCGTTTTCTTTTTCTCCATCAACTTTTCTCTTATCAGTTTCTGTCTTTCTCAGAATCTTCAAGTTTCTGATATATCCTGATCACATAGTTTTTTTTTTCTTTTTTTTTTTTTTTGTGTGTGTGTGTGTTTCGATTGGCGATCGGTTGAGCTATATTGTCAGGAATTTATGAACTCCACCAACTTCTATGGTTTTACTTGGTAATAAGAGTGTCATTGTTTGGGTTCCAACTTTTTATTTCGCTTAAAAAAAAATTGCACTTTCATTCAATCAATGAGGCAATGACAGGTCTTCCATCAAAGCAACGAAGCGCGTATTTAGCTGAACGTATGGGGAAAAAAATCTGCCGCGACTGTAGTAGTGATCAGTGACAAAGTCCCCCTGTGCTTTTTTTTTTGCGATAAAGAAAGTTAACACGGTGACAAAGTCCTCCCTGTGCTTTTTTTCTGCGATAAAGACCCCTGAACTTTACCCATTAGACAAATGCACCCTGAACTTTAACCGAAAGCATTAAATTACGAAATTACCTCACTAAATTTTTTCTATTTTCTTTTTCTTGCCCTTTTTCTTTTAAAACCTATTTAACCTATAAAATCTCCGCATAACTCTTTCTCTGGCATTGAATCCTCAATTCCACAATAGATTAGCGCACAAGGCCAACGGTTCCACGGGAAAGACCAGGGCTTTGTTCTCAACCAAGCGGGGGGTTTTATATCGATTTAAACATCAGATTAGGTCCTCCTCCGGAGGGTATAGAATCTGAGACTCCTACGGACAACAAAGACTTTAGTGCATGAAGCGCCGTCGGGGAAGCTATTGGTGATAGCAAGTGATGAAGGGTGATTTGGCCCGACCTAGCGAGAAGGGGACACGTGGGCACGATCTGATCAAGGGATGGCAATTCAGCCTAGAAAGCCTAGTTCGTAACATTTGGAGCTCGGGTATTCAGCCGCCTCGGCCCAAAACCCACCTCGGTGTAGAGGCACCTCGGCATCCAATCCAGTTCGAGACTGAAGAATCGAAGTACTAGCTCGAAGCTAATAACCGAATCGCCACGCAACCGACTCCAGAGGTCTCTCCAACAGATCCCAAGATACTCGAGATCACGATGAGCTAACAGATCCTAACTTTTCTAAGATCACGATGAGGACTCGTCCCGGCTCCGTTAGAGTCAGAGGTGAAACAATAAGTCTTATCTACATACTGCTCCTTTGGAAGTGGAACGAACCTTATCTCCATACCCCGGAGATCTCGGAGCTTTTTCGTGAGACCCACGACTACTCCAGTATATAAAGGCAGAACCCTCAAGGCAAAGGTACGCGTGATTACTCTACTCTCTAGCAATCAAGCTCTCAAGCACTCAGCTCGCATTTACACTATACTGACTTAAGCATCGGAGCGACCTTGCTGGGTTAGCCACCCCGGGTTCTCTGATAGATTGTTTTGCAGCCCGATCCAGCTCGTCATCCACCTAGAGTCCAGATCGTCCTCCATCTAGGAGTAGTCAGATCGCGCACCATCAATTGGCGCTGTCTGTGGGAATTCGATCGAAAGGTCATTCCTACCTCTTTGCAACTTCAACTTCAATGGCATCCTCCAACCACACCGGGAAAAGCGTCGAGATGAACACCACCGGAGGGCAAGCCTAGTAGCCAACCTTTCCCCAAGCCCCTACGGTATGCATCGGACAATTCACCATTCCGCTCACAGCGTTTGTAGTCCCATCATTAACTGCACTACCGAGCACCGCACAGGTGAGCACCCCGCTTTCCCTGGTGGTAAGCGCAACTTTCTCTGAGCCCTCTGTGGTTCCTCCTTGAGTGGGGAGTTCCCAGTTCCACGACCTCATTCAGTGCGTTCGGGCCATTCAGATCCAGATGCAGCAGGTCCAGTAGTTTTAGCAGTACCAACATTATTACTTCTACTAGCAATATCAACACCAGTTCCCTCCACTGCACCCAAACCAGCAGCTGGTTCCACCTCGACACCCAGGGCCCCATCACAGTCAGAACCCGAATCGCTTGGAGTTAACTAGAACATCAACCGATCCCCCCATTGGGGCGAAGAGACCTCACAAGCACTGATTCCTCTCAAGAATCAGGTCTCACCTCGAGGGAGGAGAGACGGTCAACATACTCCATCGGCCTCACAAGGAAATCTCAGAAATAGGTCTGGGGATAGTCAACTGAATCCGCCTCGGCACTCATAGCAAGAGAGTGATGGTTCGTGAGCAGATAACTAGTTCGGGGTTCAAAGTGCGAACTCAAGACAGGACCTCTTTGTCCCTCGTGATAGTCAGCCCCAGAATCCCTCGAGAAACCAAGATCTTCCTCGCGACAGGGCCGCAACACTAGATCGAACTGAAGTCAATAGCACCAATGCCGAACCAGTGAGGAAACAGCAGTGAAGACGTCGCAAGACATGCCGTACCTCGGTCAAGAACAGCCCGCCAGCAAAGCCAAGCCAGCGAGAAGAGGAAACCAAAGGGAAGGAAGAAGCGAGCTCGGTGGCTACAAAGACCGTTCCTTCACTACTTTGCAGGTCATCTCCTCTGTCTGCCGAGCTCTTGGCAGCCCCAATGCCAAAAGGCTTCAAGATACCCCTGTTAGACAAGTACGACGGGTCTTTCGATCCTAACGACCAAGTGGACTCTTTTCAGTCCTAGATGAACCTAGCTGGGGCTGATGAGTCTTGCATGTGTGTAGCCTTCTCTACTACCTTTAAAGGGGTAGTTCGAACCTGGTATCGGAACCTCGCACCGGGATCAAAAGCTGGTCGCAGTTTGCTAACTTGTTCACTGCACATTTCATCACCAACAAAAAGTGTCAGAAATCCCAAGAAAGCCTTCTCAATGTGGTTCAGAGGGAAGGAGAATCGATCAGGAGCTATATCAAATGCTTCAATGACACCTGCCTACAGATACCGGATCTCGACCCGGCAGTGAGGCTCACTGAAACCAAGAAGGGAATTACCCACAAGGAATTCAAATGGCATGTTGTAGCAAACAAACTGAAGGACATTACCGAGTTCCTAAAGCTCGCAGATCAGTTCATTGGCACCGAAGAGGAGATCAATCAGAAGGTCGATAACCCACCCTCGGAGAAGAGGAAGAGAGAAAGTGAAGGAACGAGTAGTGGCAGACAAAAAAGGAAGAAAAGCAAGTCCCCAAGAAGGGGAAGAAACAACTCTAGAAGTCAGTCCCCCTCGCGATCTCGTAAATCAGGTCAGTGCTCCAGGACCTCTCTTGTGGAGAGAACGAACTATAAACCCTTGAATGCTAAAAGAGGAGAGATCCTAATGGCCATTAAGGATTCCTCCTTCGTTAAATGGCCTCACAGGTTAAGAGAAGACCCAACAACAAGAAACCCGAACGTTTATTGCCACTTTCATCGAGATCACGGGCACAATACAAAGAAATGTAGGAACCTCCGCGATGAGATCGAGGAACTCATTCGACGTGGATACCTGAAGAATTTCTTCTTGCGCGAAGAAACAAGACAGACAAATCGGCAGGCAGACCGACAGGGAGATCAAAGGAATGCCCCAAAAGCCAGTAGGCAAAACAAGCAACTGCCATGACAGTTGCTAGAAGAGAGACCGACCCGCGGGGTAAATAACATGATTACCGGCAGGTCCATTATCGCGGGGTGTACCTTGGCAGCCGGGAGGACCTCGGTGTGCGAGCTAGAAAATGAAGAAGAAAACTCGCCAAAACGACCTTGGCTTAAAGGACCGATATACTTCACTAAAGACAATGCACGCGAGATCCAGTATCCTCACGACGATGCCCTAGTAGTAAAGCTGTGATCAATGACTTCGAAGTAAAGCGAATACTGGTAGACTCGAGCAGCTTGGCCGACATACTCTTCAAGGTGACGTTCGATAAATTACAGCTACAACAGAGTGACCTGAAACCGGCTGACACCCCTTTAGTAGGGTTTAGTGGCGAGGTGGTCAGACCTCTTGGGCGAGTCACACTACCTGTAGAAGCCGACACGTGGCCAAACATCGTGCGGTTTGACAACACCTTCCTGTTAGTCACGACTCCCTCCCCCTATAACGCCATAGTAGGTTGGCCCATCACGCATGTTCTATGTGCGGTAGTATCCACTTACTATCTGGCGATGAAGTTCCCGAGTAATTACGGGGTGGGAGTCGTGCGAGGTGACCGGCTCGAATCGCGCAAATGCTACGTAGCTGCTCTTAAAGGGAAGGCGAAGCTAGCAGAAGATGTCGAGCTCGAACGACTTGTGGAGTATACCGACGAGCGAGCTGCCCCGACAGAGGAGACGGTTCACATACTAGTCTTTGTTGACGAACCGGTCAAGACTCTCCAGATCGGTGCCTCGATCAACGAACCACTCCGCTCCCAGCTAGTAACTTTCTTACTCGAAAACTTAGATATTTTTGCTTGGTCCGCAGTAGAGATGCCCGGAATTGATTCAAAAGTTATAACTCACAAATTGAACACCGACCCATTAGTCAGGCCAGTAAGGCAGAAGAAACGCAACCTCGCCCTGGAACGTTGGAGGGTAGTCGATGAAGAGGTTGGAAAGCTCCTAGCGACGGAATTCATCAGGAAAGTCGATTACTCGAGCTGGGTGGCTAACCCAATTCTGGTGAAAAAGGCCAATGGCAAGTGGCGCATGTGCGTCGATTACATTGACCTAAATAGAGCTTGCCCGAAAGATTGCTTCTCGCTGCCCAAGATCGACCGCCTAGTGGACGCGACCTCAGGGTATGAGTTGCTGAGCTTCCTGGATGCCTATTCCGGTTACAACCAGATTAGGATGGACCCTGCTGACGAAGAGAAGACTGCCTTCATAATCGAGCTCGGGTTATACTGTTACACGGTCATACCCTTC